TTCAAGATGTCCACCATTGTTCCTGTACCCAAGAAAGCAAAGGTAACTGAACTAAATGACTACCGCCCCGTAGCACTCACCTCTGTCAGCATGAAGTGCTTTGAGAGGCTAGTTAAGGAACATATCACCTCTACCTTACCTTCCCTGACACCCTAGACCCACTTCAATTTGTTTACCGCCCCAATAGATTCACAGACGATACAATTGCAATCACCATCGCACTGCACACTGCCCTATCCCATCTGGACAAGAGGAATACCTATGTAAGAATGCTGTTCATTGACTATAGCTCAGCATTCAACACTACTGCACCCTCCAAGCTCATCATTAAGCTCGGGGCCCTGGATCTGAACCCCGCCCTGTGCAACTGGGTCCTGGACTTCCTGACGGGCCGCCCCCAGGTGGTGAAGGTAGGACACAACACCTCCACTTTGCTGATCCTCAACACTGTGGCCCCACAAAAGTGTGTGCTCAGCCCCCTCCTGTACTCCCTGTTCACCCATGACTGCGTGGCCAAGCACGCCTCCAACTCAATCATCAAGTTTGCAGACGACACAACAGTAGTAGGCTTGATTACCAACAATGACGAGACCGCCTACAGGGAGGAGGTGAGGGCTCTGGGAGTGTGGTGCCAGGAAAATAACCTCTCACTCAACATCAACAAAACAAAGGATGTGATTGTGGACTTCAGGAAACAGCAAGCCTATCCACATCTACGGGACCGCAGTGGAGAAGGTGGAAAGCTTCAAGTTCCTCGGCGTACACATCACTGACAATCTGAAATGGTCCACCCACGCAGACAGTGTGGTGAACAAGGCTCAGTAGGCTGAAGAAATGTGGCTTGGCACCTAAAACCCTGACAAACTTTTACAGATGCACAATTGAGAGCACCCTGTCGGGCTGTATCACCGCCTGGTATGGCAACTGCACCACCCGCAACCGCAGGGCTCTCAAGAGGGTGGTGCAGTCTGCCCAACGCATTACAGGGGGGAAACTACCCGCCCTCCAGGACACCTACAGCACCTTATGTCACAGGAAGGCCAAAAAGATCATCAAGGACATCAACCACCCGAGCCACGGCCTGTTCACCCCGCTATCATCCAGAAGGCGAGGTCAGTACAGGTGCATCAAAGCTGGGACAGAGAGAATGAAAAACAGCTTCTATCTCAAGGCCATCAGACTGTTAAATAGCCATCACTAGCCGGCTTCCACCCGATTACTCAACCCTGCACCTTAGAGACTGCTGCCCTATGTACATAGACATGGAATCACTGGTCACTTTAATAATGGAATACTAGTGACTTTAAATATATTTACATACTGCTTTACTCATCTCATACGTATATACTGTATTCTATTCTACTGTATTTTAGTCAATGACCACTCCGATATTGCTCTATCTAATATTTATATATTTCTTAATTCCATTCTTTTACTTTTAGATTTGTGTGTATTGTTGTGAATTGTTAGATACTACTGCACTGTTGTCTAGGAACACAAGCATTTCACTACACCCGCAATAACATCTGCTAAATATGTGTATGTGACCAATAGTCAATTTCTATCAGATACAGAGGTACCATACTTTGGAATTATTATCTTCACATTGCCAAAACCTTATCATCTCTCAATAACTTAAAGCGAAGACTGGAGGTCAGCCTAATGAACCAAAACTACCCAATAATCCCCTCCATGAAGACTGGGGGTCAGCCTGATGAACCAAACTACCCAATAATCCCCTCCATGAAGACTGGGGGTCAGCCTGATGAACCAAACTACCCAATAATCCCCTCCATGAAGACTGGGGGTCAGCCTGATGAACGAAACTACCCAATAATCCCCTCCATGACGACTGGGGGTCAGCCTGATGAACCAAACTACCCAATAATCCCCTCCATGTAGCCTAACTCTCACACTCACACACAAACATAATCAAACATGGTTTTTGTTATATACTGAGTATATCATGTACAATTGTAATTAATATGCTTTTTTAACTGATTTAACAAACTTTTTTTGTACTTACACTACTGTTCAAAAGTTTGGGGTCACTTAGAAATGTCCTTGTTTTTCATGAAAACATACATGAAATGAGTTTGAATAGGAAATATAGCAAAATGCATAGGAAATGTAGTCATTGATAAGGTTAGAAATAATGATTTTTAATAGAAATAATAATTGTGTCCTTCAAACTTTGCTTTCGTCAAAGAATCCTCCATTTGCAGCAATTACAGCCTTGCAGACCTTGGGCATTCTAGTTGTCAATTTGTTGAGGTAATCTGAAGAGATTTCACCCCATGCTTCCTGAATCACCTCCCACAAATTGGATTGGCTTGATGGGCACATCTTACGTACCATACGTTCAAGCTGCTAACACAACAGCTCAATAGGGTTGAGATCCGGTGACTGTGCTGGCCACTCCATTATAGACAAAATACCAGCTGACTGCTTCTTCCCTAAATAGTTATTGCATAGTTTGGAGCTGTGCTTTGGGTCATTGTCCTGTTGTAGGAAGAAATTGGTATGGCATGACGTTGCAAAATGGAGTGATAGCCTTCCTTCTTCAAGATCCCTTTTACCCTGTACAAATCTGCCACTTTACCACCACCAAAGCACCCCCAGACCATCACATTGCCTCCACCATGCTTGACAGATGGCATCAAGCCCTCCTGGTCTGCGTCTCACAAATGTTCTCCATAACACTTTTTTCCAATCTTCCTCTGTCCAGTGTATGTTATTTTGCCCATCTTAATCTTTTCTTTTTATTGGCCAGTCTGAGATATGGCTTTTTCTTTGCAACTCTGCCTAGAAGGTCAGCATCCCGGAGTCGCCTTTTCACTGTTGACGTTGAGACTGGTGTTTTGTGGGTACTATTTAATGAAGCTGCCAGTTGAGGACCTGTGAGGCGTCTGTTTCTCAAACTAGACACTCTAATGTATTTGTCCTCTTGCTCAGTTGTGCACCAGGGCCTCCCACTCCTCTTTCTATTCTGGTTAGAGCCAGTTTGCGTTGTTCTATGAAGGGAGTAGTACACAGCGTTGTACGAGATCTTCAGTTTCTTGGCAATTTCTCACATGGAATAGCCTTCATTTCTCAGAACAAGAATAGAATGATGCGTTTCAGAAGAAAGTTATTTGTTTCTGGCCATTTTGAGCCTGTAATCGAACCCACAATTTCTGATGCTCCAGATACTCAACTAGTCTCAAGAAGGCCAGTTTTATTGCTTCTTTAATCAGCACAACAGTTTTCAGCTGTGCTAACATAATTGCAAAAGGGTTTTCTAATGATCAATTAGCCTTGTAAAATGATAAACTTGGATTAGCAAACACAATGTGCCATTGGAACACAGGACTGATGGTTGCTGATAATGGGCCTCTGTACGCCTATGTAGATATTCCATAACAAATCAGCCGTTTCCAGCTACAATAGCCATTTACAAAATTAACAACATCTACACTGTATTCCTGATCAATTTGATGTTATTTTAATGGACAAAATAATTGCTTTTCTTTCGAAAACAAGGACATTTCTAAGTGACCCCAAACTTCTGAACGGTAGTGTATGTTTGTGGTGTGGTTTTCATATCAGCCCTTTTGGGCTTCCAACTTCACCTGCACACTGTTTTTACCATTGTTTAATCTGTACTGTTTTGCCTTTAACTTCCTTTCTTTGGTGCGAATAAATAAAACCTAAAAACCTAAATTTACATTTTAGTCATTTAGCAGACGCTCCCCTACCCTGGACGACGCTGGGCCAATTGTGCGCCGCCCCATGGGTCTCCCGGTCGCGGCCGGCTACGACAGAGCCTGCATTCGAACCAGGATCTCTAGTGGCACAGCTAGTACTGCGATGCAGTGCCTTAGACCACTGCGCCACTCGGGAGGTAAAATCACATACAATTACACATACAATTATCTGTAAGGTCCCGCAGTCAAGCAGTGCCTTTCAAAAACCCTGATTCAACCACAAAGACCAGGGAGGTTTTCCAATGCATCGCAAAGAAGGGCACCTATTGGTAGATGGGTAAAAAAACAAAAGACATTGAATATCCCTTTGAGCATGGTGAAATTATTAATTACACTTTGGATGGTGTATCAATACACCCAGTCACAACAAAGATACAGGCGTCCTTCCTAACTCAGTTGCCGGAGAGGAAGGAAACCGCTCAGGGATTTCACCATGAGGTCAATGGTCACATTAAAACAGTTACAGAGTTTAATGGCTGTGACAGGAGAAAACTGAGAATGGATCAACAACATTGTAGTTACTCCACAATACTAACCTAATTGACAGAGTCAAAAGAAGGAAGCCTGTACATCCTATATTAACATCCTATACTAACATCCCTATATTATCATCCTATATTATCATCCTATCCTAACATCCTATACTAACATCCTATATCAACATCATTAACATCTTTGGCAACTGCTCTCTCTATAGCTAAAGCAGCAGAAGCTACCAGCGCCTAGCGGTAGTATGAGTAGTGGGCACACTGGCTACTTTTTTAGTTGTATGTCGTCTCTCATGGTCAGGGTCAGGGAAAGCTTCAATTTGACTGTTTTTTAGTAGGCCTATAATGTAGATGTTAGCAGCAGAACAAACTCCAAATCACAGGTAAAGAGTAGCTCAATTGTTACAACAGCATAGCTAACAGTTAGCTAGCTAAGTAGTTGGCTGATTTACATAATCTACATTCGCTATGATCAGCTGATAGCCCTCCCCTATTTTCCCTTGAACTGTAGGGAATTATGAATGCAAACTTTTTTTTGGGGGGGGGGCTTTTTGTCACTTTGAGCACATGCCCCTCCAAAGGTTTGTGCATGGCCCTGGCGGACTGGCCTTGGCTGACTGGCCCTTACTGACTGGCCCTGGCTGACTGGCCCTGGCTGACTGGCCCTGGCGGACTGGCCCTGGCGGACTGGCCCTGGCTGACTGGCCCTTACTCTGGACTGGCCCTGGCTGACTGGCCCTGGCTGACTTGGCCTGCTGATGCCGGCTTACTTGGCCTTGGCTGACTGGCCCTGGCTGACTGGCCCTGGCTGACTGGCCCTGGCTGACTGGCCCTGGCTTACTGGCCTTGGCTGACTGGCCCTGGCTGACTGGCCTTGGCGGACTGGCCTTGGCGGACTGGCCTTGGCTGACTGGCCCTGGCTGACTGGCCCTGGCTGACTGGCCCTTACTGACTGGCCCTGGCTGACTGGCCCTGGCGGACTGGCCTTGGCTGACTGGCCCTGGCTGACTGGCCCTGGCTGACTGGCCCTGGCTGACTGGCCCTGGCTGACTGGCCCTGGCGGACTGGCCCTGGCGGACTGGCCCTTACTGACTGGCCCTGGCGGACTGGCCCTTACTGACTGGCCTTGGCTGACTGGCCCTGGCTGGACTGGCCCTGGCTGACTGGCCCTGGCTGACTGGCCCTGGCTGACTGGCCCTGGTGGTAGTGGACTGACCTTCTTGCTCTCTCCATCCTGGGTGGGGTTGTTGGTGATCTTAAAGTAGTTGAGGTCGATCACATCCTTCATCTCATAGTTGTCTCCTCGTCTCTTGCAGACGATCACAGCCACGTCAAACAGGAAGATATGTCTGCGCCCAAAACAAGTTCATACAAGTTCATTTACAGTGTGTATTCTGTCCATATTACACAGAAATAAGTTCCTACTTTGTTTGACATGCTGTCCATATAATGAAGACAGAGAAAGCCACACATGCTAGTCCTTCTCCTGTTAACAATTAACAATCTATCGGCTGCAATAGCACCAACCAGGGTTGGCCATTTGTTTCACTGGGTCTGGGAAACCAGCCTGTAGTCAGTGGGTCTGGGAAACCAGCCTGTAGTCAGTGGTTCTGGGAAACCAGCCTGTAGTCAGTGGGTCTGGGAAACCAGCCTTATCAGTGGGTCCCATGGGAGGAACCAGCCTGTAGTCAGTGAGTCAGTGGTCTGGGGAAACCAGCCTGTAGTCAGGGGTCTGGGAAACCAGCCTTGTAGTCAGTGGGTCTGGGAAACCAGCCTGTAGTCAGTGGATCTGGGAAACCAGCCTGTAGTCAGTGGGTCTGGGAAACCAGCCTGTAGTCAGTGGGTCTGGGAAACCAGCCTGTAGTCAGTGGGTCTGGGAAACCAGCCTGTAGTCAGTGGGTCTGGGAAACCAGCCTGTAGTCAGTGGGTCTGGGAAACCAGCCTGTAGGTCAGTGGGTCTGGGAAACCAGCCTGTAGTCAGGGGATCTGGGAAACCAGCCTGTAGTCAGTGGGTCTGGGAAACCCAGCCTGTAGTCAGTGGGTTGGGAAACCAGCCTGTAGTCAGTGGGTCTGGGAAACCAGCCTGTTAGTCAGTGGGTCTGGGAAACCAGCCTGTAGTCAGTGGGTCTGGGAAACCAGCCTGTAGTCAGTGGGTCTGGGAAAACCAGCCTGTAGTCAGTGGGTCTGGGAAACCAGCCTGTAGTCAGTGGTCTGGGAAACCGAGCCTGTAGTCAGGGGGATCTGGGAAACCAGGCCTGTGTCAGTGGGTCTGGGAAACCAGCCGTAGGGCAGTGGGTTGGGAGGAACCAGCCTGTAGTCAAAGGGGTTGGGGGAACAGCTGTGAGTCAGTGGGGGGAAACCAGCCTGTAGTCAGTGGGTCTGGGAAACCAGCCTGTAGTCAGTGGGTCTGGGAAACCAGCCTGTAGTCAGTCTGCCATTCTTATCCCATCTCACCTGTCTTGTTTCCTCTTGTCAACGTTAGACACCATGCGGACCTCTCCGTCCCCCTTGGGCCGTCCATAGTTCACCAGGGGCTGGTTCTTCAGGGAGGGGAGGTAATGGGAGGGGGGATATAGGGGGGAGGGGAGGGTAATGGGGAGGGGGATAAGGGGGGTAAGGGGAGGTAATGGGAGGGGGAGTAAGGGGGTAAGGGGGGTAAGGAGGAGGGGGGTAAGGGGAGGTAATGGAGGGTGAAGGGGAGGTAAGGGGAGGGGTAGGGGGTAAGGGGGGGGGGTAAGGGGGGATGGGGGTAAGGGGGGTAAGGGGCGGAAGGGAGGGTAAGGGTAGGTGGGTAGGGGGGTAATGGGAGGGGAAGGGGGTAAGGGAGGTGGAAGGGGAGGGGGTAATGGTAGGGGGGGGTAAGGGGAGGTAATGGTTAGGGGGGGTAAGGGGAGGTAAGTGGGGGAGTGGGGTAAGGGGACGGTAATGGGAGGGGGATAAGGGAGGAGGTAATGGGAGGGGGTAAGGGGAGGTAATGGGAGGGGGGATAAGGGGAGGTAGGGAGTAATGGGAGGGGGATAAGGGGGTAAGGGGATGTAATGGTAGGGGGGTGTAAGGGGAGGTAATGGGAGGGGTAAGGGAGGTATGGGAGGGGGTAAGGGGATGGTAATGGTAGGGGGTAAGGGGAGGTAATGGGAGGAGGATAGGGGGGTAAGGGGACGGTAATGGTGGGGGTAAGGGGAGGTAATGGAGGGGGGTAAGGGGAGGTAATGGTAGAGGGGGTAAGGGGGGTAAGGGGTTAAGGGGGGTAAGGGAGGGAGGGTGATGGTAGGGGGGTAAGGGGAGGTAATGGGAGGGGGGTAAGGGGATGGTAATGGGAGGGGGTAAGGGGGAGGTCATGGTAGGGGGGGTAAGGGGAAGGGTAATGGAGGGGGTAAGGGGAGGTAAGGAGGTAATGGTAGGGGGGGTGGGTAGGTAGGGGAGAGTATATGGGAGGGGGGTAAGGGAGGTAATGGGAGGTATGGGTATGGGGGGTAAGGAGAGGTCATGGTAGGGGGGTAAGGGGAGGTAATGGGAGGGGGTAAGGGGAGGTAATGGGAGGTAATGGTAGGGGGGTAAGGGGAGGTAATGGGAGGGGGTAAGGGGAGGTAATGGTAGGGGGGTAAGGAGAGGTCATGGTAGGGGGGTAAGGTGGGTATTGGTATTAATATGATATCAGTGAGATCATGTTCAGTGTGGGTTAGGAGGACTACTGTGTTAATGTTTCTGGGAGCGCATTGCACTTTGGACAACAATGGAAACAAATTGATGTGTCTAATCATGATGATTTGTGTTACCAGGTTCTCGATGGACCGTTGATACTGGTCGATCTCCCTCAGAGTCTCTTTGTCTCTCTTCACCTCATTGACATACTGTGCCAGGTCCTGGTCAACGAACAAACAGTACAATGTTTAGTGTCTATTCTCTGATTGCTGTTTAGTGAGAGAAAAAGAGAGAGAGAGTCTCTAGCTGATTACCTTCATGGCATCCAGAGCCATCTTCAGGTTGTTCTTGTCGGCTGCGTCGGGAGTGTGTTTGACCAGCTCCTAACGGACAGAGACAACAGGGAAATCATGAGTGATAAAATCACACACAGGCTGAGCTTCAGATTGTTTAGATTAAGATTAGGTTTAGATTAACACACAGTTAGCCTGGATTTTAACTACAGGACAGTCCTTTTGCTGTGACGTTTGCCTACAGGGGACTACGCAACAAAATAATATTGATGTTATAACAGCATGAAAATGAAACCAAGCTGTCACCCGGTAATTTTACAGTAAAGAGAACCAAGCCATCAAAAAGAGGAAACATTCGGAGTGAATCCACAGTTTTACTTTATCTGCAATGGACTGATTTGTGGCCCTCAGTGTCAAGACATAAAATGTCAGACTTGGATATCACTGTGTCTGCTTGGATATCACTGTGTCTGCTTGGATATCACTGTGTCTGCTTGGATATCACTGTGTCTGCTTGGATATCACTGTGTCTGCTTGGATATCACTGTGTCTGCTTGGATATCACTGTGTCTGCTTGGATATCACTGTGTCTGCTTGGATATCACTGTGTCTGCTTGGATATCACTGTGTCTGCTTGGATTTCACTGTGTATGCTTGGATTTCACTGTGTCTGCTTGGATATCACTGTGTCTGCTTGGATATCACTGTGTCTGCTTGGATATCACTGTGTCTGCTTGGATATCACTGTGTAAACTTGATGAAGCTGAACTTGAACTTATCCAACTGTGTCTGCTTGGATATCATTGTGTCTGCTTGGATATCACTGTGTCTGCTTGGATATCACTGTGTCTGCTTGGATATCACTGTGTCTGCTTGGATATCACTGTGTCTGCTTGGATATCACAGTGTCTGCTTGGATATCACTGTGTCTGCTTGGATATCACTGTGTGAACTTGATGAACTTGAACTTGAACTCATCCCACTGTTCCGGCTTGGATATCACTGTGTCTGCCTGCTAAATACACTTAACATGCAGTTCAGCACACTGGAGTTAGTCCTGCCCTGCCAAGACTCAAAGGTCCAGTTCCTTTGAAATCTGAGCTTTAGTTCTCCGCCTTTCTAAAAGAGACTGCTGAAAGCAACCCCTCTCCCTCTCTAAACAACAACAACAACAACAACAACAAATAACGGGGATCCAAATAAACAAATATCCTCCCTCCTCTCCTCCCTCTTCTCCTCTCTCCTCCTCCTTAGAGAGGGGGAAGTATGAAGGTGGAGAGAAAGAGAAAAGACGTGGAGGCTGTCGCCCCCCAGTGGACATGTGTAACACAGCCTCGTCACAGCCAGGTTGTGAGAGTATCTACTGTACAATATCCGTGGTTAACATACCTGTAGTATCTACTGTACAATATCCGTGGTTAACATACCTGTAGTATCTACTGTACAATATCCGTGGTTAACATACCTGTAGTATCTACTGTACAATATCCGTGGTTAACATACCTGTAGTATCTACTGTACAATATCCGTGGTTAACATACCTGTAGTATCTACTGTACAATATCCGTGGTTAACATACCTGTAGTATCTACTGTACAATATCCGTGGTTAACATACCTGTAGTATCTACTGTACAATATCCGTGGTTAACATACCTGTAGTATCTACTGTACAATATCCGTGGTTAACATACCTGTAGTATCTACTGTACAATATCCGTGGTTAACATACCTGTAGTAGGAGATGGTACTTCAGGACTCTCTGCATGGGAACCACCAGTAGATCTCTCAGAGTGAACTTCCCATTGTTGGCTCTTTTAGAACATTCCTGGGACCAAAAAACAACAACACATTTCATCAAAAATGAATGAGGATATTTAAGTATTACATTAACTTAAATAATGTAAGTCGCTCTGGATAAGTCGCTCCTGTAAGTCGCTCTGGATAAGAGCGTCTGCTAAATGACAAAAATGTAAATGTAAAATTAACAGGACAAAAGAGGTTCCTAGACAACATCACTTCACTGTTTGGTCATGCTGAGGCTAGTACTCCGATTATTCACCACAGAGATCCTATTCAATCATTATCAACAGAGTATTCTAATTCACCGGCGCGTTGTCTTCCCCATCGACTGTATCGGAACAGCTGGGTCTCACCTCTAGCTTTAGTCGAACGTCCTCTTTCTCCTTACAGATGAAGTCCAACACCGCGATGGATATCTCAACGTTGCTGCAGTAGATTCCATAAATGAGTAACCTGCAATGAAGAAGGAAAGTATATGACACCAAACTGTGAATTTCAGTAGCAGCCAGTCTAGATTCTGATCTAGATTCTTCTGACTAACTTGTATTTTAGATATTTGGATAAAAAGTGTCTGCTAAATGGCATATTATATATATATACATAGCCTACTGCAATATATATATATATATATATATATATATATATATATATATATATATATATTGCAGTAGGCTATGTATTTTTTTATTTCTGTGTATGTAAACACTATTAGAGAACTTGTTAAATGACAAAGGCCTACCTGTCCTTGTAGGCGATGAAGATCTGGTAGAGGTTTAAGGCGTTCTTGTTGACAATGGAGTCTTGCACCTCCAGCATCAGATTCTTATGGACTTTCACCAGGTCCTACGAACACAGAGCGAGATCAGATGTTGTACATTACAACACGTTCAGAACTAGTCTCTAACTCAAGTCTACTTCCCGTAAAAGACGCATTGGATGAGAGTATAAGAGTTTGGCTGTTTCTTACTGGAATGTTGACGAAGACCTTGTCGATTTCTGCCGCAGAGACAAATTTCTTCAGTGGATTCAGGAAGTACTGCGGGGGAAAAAAAAAAAAGTTAGAACACAGTTAGAACATTACTTTATCACTTCATCTCAGATTGTATCAGTCTTATATAGGTGACTGCAAACCACAAATACTGCAGTCTGCATGGCATCTCTAGGTAAGCTCAGTAGCGTCTCTGTGTATAACTCTGACCTTCTCTATAGACTCCAGGGTATCTGTGTAACTGACCTTCTCTATAGACCAGGTTCTCTGTGTATAACTCTGACCTTATCTATAGACTCCAGGGTCTCTGTGTAACTCTGACCTTCTCTATAGACTCCAGGTTCTCTGTGTATAACTCTGACCTTCTCTATAGACTCCAGTGTCTCTGTGTATAACTCTGACCTTCTCTATAGACTCCAGGGTCTCTGTGTAACTCTGACCTTCTCTATAGACTCCAGTGTCTCTGTGTATAACTCTGACCTTCTCTATAGACTCCAGGGTCTCTGTGTAACTCTGACCTTCTCTATAGACTCCAGGGTCTCTGTGTAACTCTGACCTTCTCTATAGACTCCAGGGTCTCTATGTATAACTCTGACCTTCTCTATAGACTCCAAGGTCTCTGTGTAACTATGACCTTCTCTATAGACTCCAAGGTCTCTGTGTAACTCTGACCTTCTCTATAGAATCCAGGGTCTCTGTGTAACTCTGACCTTCTCTATAGACTCCAGGGTCTCTGTGTAACTCTGACCTTCTCTATAGACTCCAGGGTCTCTGTGTAACTCTGACCTTCTCTATAGAATCCAGGGTCTCTATGTATAACTCTGACTTTCTCTATAGACTCCAGTGTCTCTGTGTATAACTCTGACCTTCTCTATAGACTCCAGGGTATCTGTGTAACTGACCTTCTCTATAGACCAGGTTCTCTGTGTATAACTCTGACCTTATCTATAGACTCCAGGGTCTCTGTGTAACTCTGACCTTCTCTATAGACTCCAGGTTCTCTGTGTATAACTCTGACCTTCTCTATAGACTCCAGTGTCTCTGTGTATAACTCTGACCTTCTCTATAGACTCCAGGGTCTCTGTGTAACTCTGACCTTCTCTATAGACTCCAGTGTCTCTGTGTATAACTCTGACCTTCTCTATAGACTCCAGGGTCTCTGTGTAACTCTGACCTTCTCTATAGACTCCAGGGTCTCTGTGTAACTCTGACCTTCTCTATAGACTCCAGGGTCTCTATGTATAACTCTGACCTTCTCTATAGACTCCAAGGTCTCTGTGTAACTATGACCTTCTCTATAGACTCCAAGGTCTCTGTGTAACTCTGACCTTCTCTATAGAATCCAGGGTCTCTGTGTAACTCTGACCTTCTCTATAGACTCCAGGGTCTCTGTGTAACTCTGACCTTCTCTATAGACTCCAGGGTCGCTGTGTAACTCTGACCTTCTCTATAGAATCCAGGGTCTCTATGTATAACTCTGACTTTCTCTATAGACTCCAGTGTCTCTGTGTATAACTCTGACCTTCTCTATAGACTCCAGGGTCGCTGTGTAACTCTGACCTTCTCTATAGACATCAAGGTCTCTGTGTAACTCTGACCTTCTCTATAGACACCAAGGTCTCTGTTTAAGTCGTACCTTCTCTATAGACTCCAGGGTCTCTGTGTATCTCTGACCTTTTCTATAGACTCCAGGGTCTCTGTGTATAACTCTGACCTTCTTTTTAGACTCCAGTGTCTCTGTGTATAACTCTGACCTTTTCTATAGACTCCAGGGTCTCTGTGTATAACTCTGACCTTCTCTATAGACTCCAGGGTCTCTGTGTAACTCTGAACTTCTCTATAGACTCCAGGGTCTCTGTGTATAACTCTGACCTTCTCTATAGACTCCAGTGTCTCTGTGTATAACTCTGACCTTCTCTATAGACTCCAGGGTCGCTGTGTAACTCTGACCTTCTCTATAGACTCCAGGGTCTCTGTGTAACTCTGACCTTCTCTATAGACTCCATGGTCTCTGTGTATAACTCTGACCTTCTATATAGACACCAAGGTATCTGTGTATAACTCTGACCTTCTCTATAGACACCAAGGTCTCTGTTTAACTCGTATCTTCTCTATAGACTCCAGGGTCTCTGTGTATAACTCTGACCTTCTCTATAGACTCCAGTGTCTCTGTGTATAACTCTGACCTTCTCTATAGACTCCAGGGTCTCTGTGTAACTCTGACCTTCTCTATAGACTCCAGGGTCTCTGTGTATAACTCTGACCTTCTCTATAGACACCAAGGTCTCTGTTTAAGTCGTACCTTCTCTATAGACTCCAGGTTCTCTGTGTATAACTCTGACCTTCTCTATAGACTCCAGGGTCTCTGTGTAACTCTGACCTTCTCTATAGACTCCAGGGTCTCTGTGTATAACTATGACCTTCTCTATAGACTCCAGTGTCTCTGTGTATAACTCTGACCTTCTCTATAGACTCCAGGGTCTCTGTGTATAACTCTGACCTTCTCTATAGACACCAAGGTCTCTGTTTAACTCGTACCTTCTCTATAGACTCCAGGGTCTCTGTGTATAACTCTGACCTTCTCTATAGACTCCAGGGTCTCTGTGTATAACTCATACCTTCTCTATAGACTCCAGGGTCTCTGTGTATAACTCTGACCTTCTCTATAGACTCCAGGGTCTCTGTGTATAACTCTGACCTTCTCTATAGACACCAAGGTCTCTGTTTAACTCGTACCTTCTCTATAGATTCCAGGGTCTCTGTGTATAACTCTGACCTTCTCTATAGACACCAGGGTCTCTGTTTAACTCGTACCTTCTCTATAGACTCCAGGGTCTCTGTGTATCTCTCCTCTGTTTGTTTGATCTCTGAGAGGCAGCAGCTTCTCACATTCTGCTCAGCCTGCTTCTGTAGGGAAGAACATGTCTAGTAAACATTTGGTCACAATTTCTTTAGGGGCACACAAACACGGTCTGTTACAAAATATATTTCAGTAACATTATCGTTTGTGTGTGTTCGTGTGTGTGTATGTATGTGTGTGTGTGGTGAGTGAGTGAGTGAGTGAGTGAGTGAGTGAGTGAGTGAGTGAGTGAGTGAGTGAGTGAGTGAGTGAGTGAGTGAGTGAGTGAGTGAGTGAGTGAGTGAGTGAGTGAGTGAGTGAGTGAGTGAGTGAGTGAGTGAGTGTGTGTGTGTGTGTGTGTATGTATGTGTGTGTGTGTGTGTGTGTGTGTGTGTGTGTGTACCAGTGTAGGGTGCTGTTCTGTCCTCATCAGGTCTTCGTAGATCTCTCCTCCTTCATCAGTGTCATCCATCCCGTACACTGGAGCATACAGCTCCTCCTCATCCTCTAGAACGTTCTCACTGACAAACAAACACACACAAACACGCCCGCACACACACACAAACACGCCCACACACACACACAAACACGCCCACACACACACACAAACACGCCCACACACACACACAAACACGCCCACACACGCACACAAACACGCCCACACACACACACACAAACACGCCCACACACACACACAAACACGCCCACACACACACACAAACACGCCCACACACACACACAAACACGCCCACACACACACACACAAACACGCCCGCACACGCACACAAACACGCCCACACACACACACACAAACACGCCCGCACACGCACACAAACACGCCCACACACACACACAAACACGCCCACACACACACACACAACACGCCCACACACACACACAAACACGCCCACACACACACACAAACATGCCCGCACACGCACAGTTTGAGATTAGGCCAGGGTAAAGCTAAAGAGAGGGTGGGTGAAGGAACTGCCTCAATCCAAACATCGGCCCAGGTGCTTTGTCATGGCTTTCCACAGGGGGGTGCTGTTTCACAGGCAGACATATACACTATGCAGTATGTCTAGCCTGCTAGGTGGGATCAATCTCAAGTCTAATCATATCATCATATCATCTGTACCCTGTCTCTGTCTCTGTCTCTGTCTCTCTGTCTCTGTCTCTGTCTCTGTCTCTGTCTCTCTCTCTCTCTCTCTCTCTCTCTCTCTCTCTCTCTCGCTCTCTCTCTCTCTCTCTCTCTCTCAATTAAATTTCAATTTCAATTTAAGGGCTTTATTGGCATGGGAAACATATGTTAACATTGCCAAAGCAAGTGAAGTAGATAGTAAACAAAAGTGAAATAAACAATAAACATTACACTCAGAAGTTCCAAAAGAATAAAGACATTTCAAATGTCATATTATGTATATATACAGTGTTGTAACAATGTGCAAATAGTTAAAGTACAAATGGGAAAATAAATAAATATAAATATGGGTTGTATTTACTATGGTGTTTGTTCTTCACTGGTTGCCCTTTTCTTGTGGCAACAGGTCACAAATCGTGCAGCTGTGATGGCACACTGTGGTTTTTCACCCAGTAGATAAGGGAGTTATCAAAATTGGGTTTGTTTTCGAATTCTTTGTGGATCGCTGTAATCTGAGGGAAATATGTGTCTCTAATATGGTCATACATTTGGCAGGAGGTTAGGAAGTGCAGCTCAGTTTCCACCTCATTTTGTGGGCAGTGTGCACATAGCCTGTCTTCTCTTGAGAGCCAGGTCTGCCTACGGCGGCCTTTCTCAATAGCAAGGCTATGCTCACTGAGTCTGTACATAGTCAAAGCTTTCCTTAAGTTTGGGTCAGTCACAGTGGTCAGGTATTCTGCCACTGTGTACTCTCTGTTTAGGGCCAAATAGCATTCTAGTTTGCTCTGTTTTTTTGTTAGTTCTTTCCAATGTGTCAAGTAATTCTCTTTTTTTTTTCTCATGATTTGGTTGGGTCTAATTGTGTTGTTGTTGTTGTTGTTGTTGTTGTTGTTGTTGTTGTTGTTGTTGTTGTTGTTGTTGTTGTCCTGGGGCTCTGTGGGGTCTGTTTGTGTTTGTGAACAGAGCCCCAGGACCAGCTTACTTAGGGGACTCTTCTCCAAGTTTTCTCTTCTCTCTCTGGGGTATGAACGGTGTGGTGTGCGCGATGGCTTCACCACACCCTGTTTAATGTAAAGCTCTTACAAGATGCCACCTTTTGCTCAAGTTTCCAGACTTTTTGGGAAAGGTGGGGGCAGCGAAGAGAGGAGTATGAGTCTCTGAGTCAATGGTGGGATGTGGGAAAAGTCCAAATTCGGCTTTTCTGCCAACAGTATACAGCTCTGTCATCCTCAGAGGCTAGGAGAGTATTGGGGGAACTCGAGCGTAGTATTAGTGAGATGGAGGTAGAGCTGGTGGGGCAAGGCAATGTAGGCCTCCAGGCTAATTTAGCTGAACTACGTAGGGACCTGGGCAGTTTTTTACAGGTTAAAGCAAAGGGAGCACTTGTAAGAGCTAGGTTCTCCATGCTCAAGGAGATGGATGCTCCCAGCTCCTTCTTCTTTGGTTTGGAAAGACAGAGCGGTGAAGCCAAGGGTATGCATTGTCTACGGCTGTCGGAAGGGCGGGTGACCTCTGTGGTGGGGGAGATGCGGGAGCGGACTGTGGAGTTTTATACTGAGTTGTATAAGGCAGAACTGTGTGATCCTATGTGTGCTCAGGTTTTGTTTGCAGAACTCCCTAAGGTCTCTCTGGCACAGAGGGATGAAATGGACATTCCCCTGTTGTCCCATGAACTGGCAGAGGCCGTAACCCAGATGTCCCCCGGCCGTGCACCGACGGCCGATGGACTCCCAGTGGATACACGTTGTGAAATTATTAGATAGTACTTATTAAATATTAATGCACTGTCGGAGCTAGTAACACAACCATTTCGCTCCACCCACAATAACATCTGCTGAACACGTGTATGTGACCAATAAAATTGGATTTGATTTAATTAATGTTGTCAGAATTCTGGGCTTTTTTTTTTAGTCAAATCCTGCAATGAGATAAGAATGATAAGAACCCTACTAATTATTCATACTCTGCTTCCTGTGACATTAAACTAGAAAACTGGGCCCAGCTTTTACCAAAGCACCAAACCCCGGGTGAGGACGTGCCAAGTGTGCTCCGTATAATAGGTATGCTCTATCAATACCAATGATAAGACTGGTTGTTTTATATACACAGCTACAAATACAGGTAAAATATGCACGTGCCTTTTATATCAATGGGATATATATTTAATAGATTAAACACAATGTCCATTTGGAGAGATCAACAGACTTACTCCATCAGGTCCTTCAGATGACTGTAAATATCCTCGTCTTTCAGACTCTCCTCTGTTGGAAAGGGCCTGTCAAAAAAAAAGAAAGGGAATCATTCCCGATATTACACATCATCATCAATTAAATGTAATGTTGGTAAAACAAAACAGCTAAAGTGATGACTGCACACACAACATCATTGAGACCAGTGTCACACTTCATTTGGGTTTGGGAAAATATAAGTGAGACGTACTTGATTCCTGCCTGTTGAGCGACCGTGGAGTAGGAAAGTTTGGAAAGGGTGTCCATCACCTGGGGGGGAGAAGAGGCAATAAGTGATTGGTGCGTACTCAATAGATATGAATGTGAAGTACTGATTAGGAAAGTTATGATGAGCGCTTGGCTTTTGATTTTGGTGGGTTTTAATGCATTGTTACTGGTGTACAGATGCAGCTGTTTTACCTGACATACAAACACACACTAACCTATCTCACTCTCAAATCTCAGTAAAGTGTGTTGAACTCAGATATATACGCCAGCCCCTCACTGAGACTCACACTGGAGGAAGTGGTCATAATCCAAAACTAAACTCACATACATTTCCAGGAAGTACGTGAGTGTGTGTGTGTGTGTGCGTGTTTTTTGCACTTTTTTTTTTTGTTGCTATTACTGCAGCACTTTCATGCAATGCCAAATAATGTCTAATGTGTATATTGTGCCTTTATACTTGGAGCACAAAAACAAACGACTGGCCTGAGGTGTCTGTCTACATCAATGAAAACTAGGGTAAATATTGATTCTAGTTAACCGAGAGTAGAGAACTAGGTTAATAACTGCAGGAGGGGGCCGTTGTCTAGACCAAACAGTCTAACTCACGGTTAACATAGATTCATTACAGTTAAAAACATTAACAAAAATAAACATGATGGGCCGTAACCAGGGTTTGGGGGGGGGAGGTGAAAGTTGAAGCTCATTTTCTGCATTTCTATACATTTAAAACACTTTAAAATGCTGGAGAACAGCAAAAACAAGCAAAAATGATCCCAGCCATTATCACCTTGACTGCAAAAGGTTAATTCACCGCAGTCCATCTACAGTACAAACACATAGGCTATTAGCTATACAATTGTAATGTTACAGTGCCTTCAGAAAGTATTTACACCTTTTGACTTTTTCCACATTTTGTTGTGTTACAACCTGAATAAAAAATGGATTAAATTCAGATGTTGTGTCATTGGTCTACACACAATACTCCATAATGTCAAAGTGGAATTATGTTTTTATAAATGTTTCCACGTTAATTAAAAATGAAAAGCTGAAATGTCAATGAGTCAATAAGTATTCAACCCCTTTGTTATGGCAAGCCTAAATAAGTTCAGGAGTAAAATGTGCTTAACATGATTTTTGAATGACTACCTCATCTCTGTACCTCACACATACAATTATCTGTAAGGTCCCTCAGTCGAACAGTGAATTTCAAACACAGATTCAACCACAAAGACCAGGGAGGTTTTACCCACCTATTGGTAGATGGGTAAAAAATAAAAAATAAAGACATTGAATATCCCTTTGAGCATTGTGAAGTTATTAATTACACTTATGATGATGTATCAATACACCCAGTCACTACAAAGATACAGGCATCCTTCCTAACTCAGTTGCCAGAGAGGAAGGAAACTGCTCAGGGATTTCACCATGAGACCAGTGGTGACTTTAAAACAGTTACAGAGTTTAATGGTTGTGATAGGAGAAAACTGAGGGTGGATCAACAGCATTGTAGTTACTCCACAATACTAACCTAAATGACAGAGTGAAAATAAGGAAGCCTGTACATCATGGCCTCTAAACCTTCAAGCTGCATACTGGATCCTATTCCTACTAAACTGCTGAAGGAGCTGCTTCCTGTGCTTGGCCCTCCTATGTTGAACATAATAAACAGCTCTCTATCCACCGGATGTGTACCAAACTCACTAAAAGTGGCAGTGATAAAGCCTCTCTTGAAAAAGCCAAACCTTGACCCGGAAAATATAAAAAACTATCGGCCTATATCGAATCTTCCATTCCTCTCAAAAATTTTAGAAAAAGCTGTTGCGCAGCAACTCACTGCCTTTCTGAAGACAAACAATGTATACGAAATGCTTCAGTCTGGTTTTAGACCCCATCATAGCACTGAGACTGCACTTGTGAAGGTGGTAAATGACCTTTTAATGGCGTCAGACCGAGGCTCTGCATCTGTCCTCGTGCTACTAGACCTTAGTGCTGCCTTTGACACCATCAATCACCACATTCTTTTGGAGAGACTGGAAACCCAAATTGGTCTACACGGACAAGTTCTGGCCTGGTTTAGATCTTACCTGTCGGAAAGATATCAGTTTGTCTCTGTGAATGGTCTGTCCTCCGACAAATCAACTGTACATTTCGGTGTTCCTCAAGGTTCCGTTTTAGGACCACTATTGTTTTCACTATATATTTTACCTCTTGGGGATGTTATTCGAAAACATAATGTTAACTTTCACTGCTATGCGGATGACACACAGCTGTACATTTCAATGAAACATGGTGAAGCCCCAAAATTGCCCTCGCTAGAAGCCTGTGTTTCAGACATAAGGAAGTGGATGGCTGAAAACTTTCTACTTTTAAACTCGGACAAAACAGAGATGCTTGTTCTAGGTCCCAAGAAACAAAGAGATCTTCTGTTAAATCTGACAATTCATCTTGATGGTTGTAAAGTCGTCTCAAATAAAACTGTGAAGGACCTCGGCGTTACTCTTGACCCTGATCTCTCTTTTGACGAACATATCAAGACTGTTTCAAGGACAGCTTTTTTCCATCTACGTAACATTGCAAAAATCAGAAATGTTCTGTCCAAAAATGATGCAGAAAAATTAATCCATGCATTTGTTACTTCTAGGTTAGACTACTGCAATGCTCTACTTTCCGGCTACCCGGATAAAGCACTAAATAAACTTCAGTTAGTGCTAAATACGGCTGCTAGAATCCTGACTAGAACCAAGAAATTTGATCATATTACTCCAGTGCTAGCTTCCCTACACTGGCTTCCTGTTAAGGCAAGGGCTGATTTCAAGGTTTTACTGTTAACCTATAAAGCGTTACATGGGCTTGCTCCTACCTATCTTTCCGAGTTGGTCCTGCCGTACATACCAATACGTACGCTACGGTCACAAGACGCAGGCCTCCTAATTGTCCCTAGAATTTCTAAGCAAACAGCGGGAGGCAGGGCTTTCTCCTATAGATCTCCATTTTTATGGAACAGTCTGCCTACCCATGTGAGAGACGCAGACTCGGTCTCAACCTTTAAGTCTTTACTGAAGACTTATCTCTTCAGTAGGTCATATGATTGAGTGTAGTCTGGCCCAGGAGTGTGAAGGTGAACGGAAAGGCTCTGGAGCAACGAACAGCCCTTGCTGTCTCTGCCAGGCCGGTTCCCCTCTCTCCACTGGGGTTCTCTGCCTCTAACCCTGTTACAGGGGCTGAGTCACTGGCTTGCTGGTGCTCTTTCATGCCGTCCCTAGGAGGGGTGCGTCACTTGAGTGGGTTGAGTTACTGACGTGATCTTCCTGTCTGGGTTGGCGCCCCCCCTTGGTTTGTGCTGTGGTGGAGACCTCTGTGGGCTATACTCGGCCTTGTCTCAGGATTGTAAGTTGGTGGTTGAGGATATCCCTCTAGTGGTGCGGGGGCTGTGCTTTGGCAGAGTGGGTGGGGTTATATCCTTCCTGTTTGGCCCTGTCCGGGGGTTTCTTCGGATGGGGCCACAGTGTCTCCGGACCGCTCCTGTCTCAGCCTCCAGTATTTATGCTGCAGTAGTTTATGTGTCGGGGGGCTGGGGTTAGTTGGTTATACCTGGAGTACTTCTCCTGTCTTATCCAGTGTCCTGTGTGAATTTAAGTATGCTCTCTCTAATTCTCTCGTTCTCTCTTTCTCTCTGAGAACCTGAGCCCTAGGACCATACGTCAGGACTACCGGACATGCTGACACCTTGCTGTCCCCAGTCCGCCTGGCCTTGCTGCTATTCCAGTTTCAACTGTTCTGCCTGCGGTTACGAAACCCCTACCTGTCCCAGACCTGCTGTTTTCAACTCTTAATGATCGGCTATGAAAAGCCAACTGAGAGACCTGAGCCCTAGGACCATACGTCGGGACTACCGGCCGTGGTGACTCCTTGCTGTCCCCAGTCCGCCTGGCCTTGCTGCTATTCCAGTTTCAACTGTTCTGCCTGCGGTTATGGAACCCCTACCTGTCCCAGACCTGCTGTTTTCAACTCTTAATGATCGGCTATGAAAAGCCAACTGAGATTTATTCCTGATTATTATTTGACCATGCTTGTCACTTATGAACATTTTTGAACATCTTGGCATGGTTCTGTTATAATCTCCACCCGGCACAGCCAGAAGAGGACTGGCCACCCCTCATAGCCTGGTTCCTCTCTAGGTTTCTTCCTAGGTTTTGGCCTTTCTAGGGAGTTTTTCCTAGCCACCGTGCTTCTACACCTGCATTACTAGCTGTTTGGGGTTTTAGGCTGGGTTTCTGTACAGCACTTCGAGATATTAGCTGATGTACGAAGGGCTATATAAAATAAAATTGATTGATTGAAATTGATTGTACAGAATAAAAGTATTCCAAAACATGCATCCTGTTTGCAATAAGGCACTAAATTAAACTGCAAAGAATGTGGTAAATAAATTAACTTTATGTCCTGAATACAAAGCGTTATGTTTGGGGCAAATCCACTGAGTACCACTATTAATATTTTCAAGCATGGTGGTGGCTGCATAGTGTTATCGGTATGCTTGTCATCAGCAAGGACTGTGGAGGATTTTTAGGGTAAAAATAAACGGAATAGAGTTTAGCACAGGCCAAATCCTAGAGGAAAACCTGGTTCACACTGAGAGATTAATTTACCTTTCAATAGCACAATAACCTAAAACACAAAGCCAAATCTACACTGGAGTTGCTTACCAAGAAGACAGTGAATGTTCTTGAGTGGGCCGAGTTACAGTTTTGACTTAAATCTGCTTGAAAATCTATGGCAAGACCTGAAAATGGTTGTCTAGCAATGATCAACAACCAATTCGACAGAGCTTGAAGAATTTTGAAAAGAATAATGGGCAAATGTTGCAGAATGTGGAAAGCTCTTAGAGATTTACCCAGAAAGACTCACAGCTGTAATTGCTGCCAAAAAGTGCTTCTACAAAGTTGTTTTTATTCTACAATTGTTCAACATTTTCTTCTACTCTGACATTACAGAGTATTTTGTGTAGATTTGGGGGGGGAAAAAGTACAATTAAAAACATT